AGTATCTGTTATCTTCCTGAGATACTTCACTGAGGATAATAGTCTCCAGTTCCATCCAAGTTGCTGCAAAGGACATTATTTCCTTCCTTTTTATGGCTGAGTAGTACTCCATGGCATGTATACCCAATAGGCAACTTCCTTTCACCAAGATGCACACTGTGCTCCTGGGCCTGACCCCCAGTTTGGAGTTCATGGATGTCCTGACCCCTGGCATCCTTGATTTGACTGCTTCAAAGCACTAGGCCCAGTCTCCTGGTGTGTGGGCCTGGCATTTGGCCATTTGTTTCTTGGGGCCAGATGTGGATAGAGGATCCAACAAGCAAAGTTGTTACTGAAGATGTTTGAAGCGGCTTTGAGAGCAGAGGGGGATATCCCCAGCCCCAGCCTTCTGCATCTTGGCATTCATCCTATGGACAGCAAAATCCCCAGTCTTTGAGACTGAAGACTGTCCCTGCTCAGCCCAGCTCATCTCCCATCACTCCCCCAGACCCTTTTCCCTCTGCCACCCCACCTTTTCTAGGCCTGACATGCTGTTTTCAGATGAAAACTACCTGCCTATAGCCCATGGACATCCCCTGAGTGCTCAGGGCTCTTGAACAGCTTGCCTCTGCTTCCCTGCTGCACCAGATGGGTAGGTCATTAGGGACAGAGTTTGCTGGGGGCGGAGCACACAGTGGGTGCCCAGGAAGTGTTTAAGGGATGGGAGAATGAGCAGGCCAGCCGGTGCCTGCTGCAGACCAGCACACTCCCCATCTTATACCTTCTCGTGCCTGTTCTCATCTCCAGTCCAATGTCTACCCACCGGTTAGTTCCCAGTTCACTCTCCACCTTTCTTAGAATTCTTTTCCTGACTTCTTCTCTACCAGTCCCAGAGGTAGAGATCCCTCTCCTTCAACTCTTGTAGAATCGACTCTTTCCATGCTGCATAATTTTCTGCATAATTATAATCTCAGCAGTAATCTTCTCTTTTGTATGTGGGTTTTCTGAGTCTTTGGGAATTGTAAGCCCTGGAAGCTCAAAAGTAACCCATGTTCTTTGGGTCTCATAGAGCATCATACGCATGGCAGATTACTAAGAAGATGCCGAAAGCCAACTTGATCAAAATAGGTGACCAGGCAACCAGAGCAATGCAGAGAAGTCCCCACACTGCCATTCGTTCACCTTGGCCAAATCTCGCTGCCTCATGACCACTTGCTCTCAGGGAAACTAGGGCTAATAGAATCTGTATTAGTGCCTCCTATACTCAGGATACTGACATTTAGCGGACATTAAACCACAGTGGGTCAGTTTTTTATAGTGAGATTGGGTTGGGGCTCCCAGCCTCAGCTTCCTTTCAGAGTCGCAAGAGTTGGCAAGATGGGTGTTCTTGTTGGGACTGTCCTTGAGACCCTTCATTTTATATATTTTTTTAGCATCTCTATATCTTAGCAGACTAATAAAACTATGTTTAATAGTTTCAGGTCTGCAGATTTGAATCTGTCCATTCATTCATCTGGGCTTCATTATTCATCCATCAGACATTTATTAGACCCCTCCTGTATGTAAGCCCTGTGCTAAGCCACACCCTCTGCTCTCCAGATGGTTCCACAGGCTACAGCTAGGGTGGCCTCTCAGTCTAAGCAGACCAGACCTGCCCACCTTAACTCCCAGTCTCCCCTCTTGGGCTCATGGATCTTGATATCTCTTTGCCATGCTAGCATTGTCTTTTGGTCCCCTTTGAGGACACTAAGGCCAATGTCTGGGTTGCTGCTGAATAGGAGGGGCCGGTCTGAGCCCCACTGCATGGCTCATGACAGGGCTGGGAAAGGAAGTAAGTTGGGGGTTTCAGACTCCCCAGGCCTGGCCTGGCTCCCCAGTGCCCACAGAAGCATCTCTGTGTCCACGCACCTGTCTTTCTCTCTCCTCCACACTGGAGAGGAGTTCTTGAGTTCCCTCATCTTGTACAGAGTTTTTCTCCTTCAGGCCCGTTCCCCTACACTCCTAGCCTGGCTTTTCCAGACTTCTAATTGGTTTCTCTGCCTTGATCTGGGCCTTCCATGTCCATTTACGGTGTGGAGCCCTGATTTAATGCAATAATTGCCCAGCTGGGCCAGGACTGCAACACACGGCAGCCTGAGAGCCTCCCAGCCCAGAGGACCCCTGCGCCCCCTTTCCCGGCCTCTGTTGCCTGGGGCCTCCACGCAGACCTTCCCCACTCTCCCTGGCTCTCCTCTTTATCTGCGGCTCCCAGCATGTGTGCCTCCCTCTATCAGTGTATCGGGCTAGCATGCCTCATCTAAAGTGTATATATTACCTAATAAAATCCTTCTTATTTGGGATTATTGCATCAGATTTTAATTTCCTCACTCGAGCAGCAGCATGTCGGCCTGCCCGTCAGTGAAGGACCGATAGAAGGTGAAAAGAGCGGATAAACTGCACAAATTACTGCCAGCTGATGCCTATCAGCCCTTTGACTGGAATTGACTGGAATTAAGGACTGAGAAATAGGATTTTCTACCTCAGAATGTGCTGTGGCAGCTCTCGTCGGAAGTCCCCTTCAGCCCCCGTGGCCTCCTCCCTGCCAGGGGCGCCTCCCACTCCCGAAGCAAACTGCATGTCCACCTTTCAAGTCCTTAATCCTGTCATGGAAATGGGGGGTGGGGACGTCTCAGCTGAGCTGGCAGGGAAGGAAGAGGACGGGGACTCCTGAGGCCAGGCACAGCCGGTTGGCCTCTGCATCACAGCTCCCCCGGCCAGGGCTTTTTTCAGAAGGAGACGAGCAAAGAAAGGGAGAGACACGGTTCCTTCCAGAGAAGTCCAGCTTCTCAAGACTGTGTCCTCAGTTCCCACCAGTACCCAGGCCTCACAGGCTGCGGGTGCATCCATACCCCTCTGGACATACCTGCTAAGCACTTAGCCCTGGGCCCTCTCACTTCTGCTAGGGAGCAGTGGGGCCCCTTGGCTAACCCCAGTGTAGTGGGGTCTTCCATTCCCCAGTCACCCTCACCCCACCCACTCATCATACCTCGTGACCTTCAGCAAATCCCTGAACCTTTGGGCCTCCATTTCCTCCAAATACTCCTCCCATGAGGTCGTGAGGGAACCTGCACGCAGTCCGACAGTGAGGGAGGTGTGACAGAAGGAGCCTCCGTTAGGTACTCGGCACTGTGCTTGGCACATGTCACGTGCTCCACTCATGCTAGTTCTCCTAAGAAGCTGTGAGCTGTTTTGTTTTTTTGAGATCCAGTCTCACTCTGTCACACAGGCTAGAATGCTGCGGCCTCATCATAGCTCACAAAATCTCAAACTCTTGGACTCAAGCAATACTCCTGCCTCAGGCTCCCAAGTAGCTGTGACTCCAGGTGCCTGCCATGATACCCAACTAATGTTTCTATTTTTAGTAGAGACAGGGCCTCATTCTTGCTCAGGCTGGCCCTGAGCCCAAGCAGTCCTTCCACCTCAACCTCCCGAGTGCTAGGATTACGGGTGTGAGCCACCACTGCCAAATTAGATGGTCTTATAATGCACAGAAAACCCCTTATCTTTAGGGTAGAGATGATTAATCTGAGATGTTGGGAGTTTGAATTTTCTGAAATTGTTTGGAAGCTCCACGTGAATCTGGAAAGGGTCACCTAGGTTTTCATCAGATGCACCCAAGACTGCCAGGCCCCAATGAATAGTAAGTCACATTGACAGCATTTGCTGTGTGTCTGGTGCTGTTCTGGGTACTTTACATGTGCCAGCTGCTGAGGAGAGGGTTCTGTGATTATACTCACTTTATAGATGAGGAAAGCAAGGCAGTGAGGGGTCAAAAGTGACTAACTCAGAGGATTCAAACACAGGCAGTCTCACAACAGTGCCAGACTCTTAAGCACCTTGCTCTACTCCTCCCTTCCCTCCCATCACTAGGAGGCAGGACCCCACAGGCCTGCAAATCTCACACCTCTCTAGGGAGAGCCTCATTCTCCAGCAGGCCTCTTGCTCCCTGGAACATGGGTTCTCTTGGAGGGAAGAAGCCCCGTGGCAGGTTGGGCCCTGTCTTGAGCCCTGCATCTGGTTCCGGGCCTGCCTGCCTGCTTTCCTGGCCATGCCCTGGCACACTCCCCATCTGGGGAGACTCCCTGGAGCCCCAGATAGGCAGGGCGACCTCGGGAGTGTGGCCAGCTCCGGGCTGGGCAGGGCTACACTTCTCCATTCCCTCGTCTTTAGAAATAAGTTTCAGTATATTGAAAATATAATCACTGAGACTCCGAAACAAGAGCCGTGGGTTCCCAGGAGCCCCCATTCCTCCCTGTTAATTCCTTCTCATAACATTTCCAGTCTTTCTGGCTGCACTTGTATTAAAAGCTCAAGGTTTTATTAAAAGTGGATTTATTTACCCAAAAAGAGATGAAACCCCAAACTTTGCCAGGAACCTGTCAGCTTGCTTCATAGAAGCTCAGCTGTGACTCTTACTGGGTAGAGTCTCCTTGTCCTTCTGTCCTAGAGAGCCACCTGGCCTCCTCTGAACCCCCCAAGGGGACTCTGGATATCCCCATGCAGGAATGTCCACAGGGAGGTGCTCGCAGGGCTATGAGGACTGAGGGTTCTTTGGCCACCGGGTCCCCTCTTTGTACAAGCCCACACTGGCCACCTTATCTTGTCCTCCTGAGGCTCACTGTCTCAAGCACTGGACCTAGTTACTCTGCAGGCCAGGAGCAGATAGAGGATCACTGTGAAGGGCAGCAATGCCTGGGAAGGAGAGGAGGTGTGTTCCCCTGCTGTGTCCTAGCAGCAAGACTGGGAGGCCTTGAGGAGGGGGGCAGCTCATCCCCAGGGCAGAGGGCCTGTGGGTCAGGAAACAAACCCTTCTATACAGAAGATGAGGGTGGAGGGGGTGCAGCACAGGCTTCAGCTTCCTGCTGATAAGTGGTGAGTGATCAAGAGGCGGCCAAGGCCACAAGAGCCCTTCATTAGATACGGAGATGCCAGGGTTGATATTTCCCTAGAGGATGGGATGGGGACTGTTCTGCTGTCCATCACCAGGAAAGACTGCAACTCAGGGCCAGAACCTCAGGCAGGCAGGCGTGAGCAGGCACGCTGGCCTGGGCAATGGTGTGATAGGGCCTGCGGAGCAGGGTTAGGGCTGCCCTGGGCAAGGGACGACTCAGCAAGTGCTGGGGGTGATCCGAGGGTCCTCTCTTTTGCCTATTTAGTTAGTCTACCAATATTTGGACGTGCCATTATATGCCAGGCTCTCTTCCTAAGATAGTCTTCTGCCTCCAAGCCCTTGCCTGTACTGTATCTCCTGCCTGGAGCACCTTCCTTTTCATTTTCTTTCCCTAGAAAACTCCTACTCATTCTTCACAACCCATTCTAAATGCTGCCAAAAACTCCTACTCATTCTTCACAACCCATTCTAAATGCTGCCATCTGTGCAACCCTTTGCCAGTCCCTCCAAGTGGACTTCTCCTGTTTTCTGTCCATTTCTCTGTCCAATCCGTATGTATATACATGCTCTTTGTGTCTGTACAGAGGTTATTGTGCCTCATTCCTCCCCAGACTGTGTTCCCGTCCAGTAGTCCCAGATCTTGGCCTTTCCCCCACCAGTGCTGCAGAGGGAATGAGGGGGGTGTGGCAGAGCCACTGAGGCAAGAACCAGGTGCATTGCTGTGTGGGCCATGTGGCCGCCAAGGTTGCTGTGGTCATCCCTGGAGATCCTTGCTTTCAGGACTTATGATGCTTTCATCCATAGAGTAATTCATCTGTAATGTTCTCTTTTATGCAGACTCCACTAAAACAAGGTCCCAGAATGTTTGTTATTCATATTAAGGTGAGGCAAACTGAGGCCAGAGAGGAGCAGCAGCTTTCCTGAGGTCACACAGCAATATGATAGGTGGTTGAGATAGACACCAGGTTTCGTGTCCGCTTGCCGGATGCCCCTTATCTGTTCTTCCATCAGTGATTCATCCAAAATGATGAGGAATGTGGGGAGGGGAGGCAGGAGTGGGAGCATCAATGAGGCTGGGCCTCCCCACACAACTTGGGGTGTTTGGCTGAGGGCTTTGATGTGTGTCCCAAGGACAGTGGGGACAGCTGAGGCATGAGCACTTGGCCTCTGCTTCCTAGGCTGGTCTTGCTGCCAGCAGTCAGCCTGGAGAGGGAGGCTGCAAAACCATGACAGCTACAGAGAAAGGCAGCAGCCCAGGGGCCAAACTCAAATTCCTCATCTCTCCTACCCAGGGCACCACAGTGCGCATTATCACTGCCATCGACCAGGATAAAGGACGTCCCCGGGGGATTGGCTACACCATCGTTTCAGGTAAGGCAGAAATGGTGGGCAAGGGCAACAGCGTATGAGACCTCCTGCCAGGGGTGGTCCTCACCAGCAAACCCAAGAAGGGGACCCATGGAAAAAGGAAGGAGGCCATGGTGTCTGGGGGCTGCTTGGGTGGCATTGGGGGTTGGGAGTGTGGGCTGCCGTCTAAGATCTGAGGCCACTGGGTCCTTTGAGGGTCTGGGACTTTGATCTTGGGGAGTTGGTGACTCCCATGTAAACCTCCTCAGTGCTCTGGGTTTTTCTTTTTCTCTTCCTATTTGATGAAAAGGTAGCAGTTTTGACATCATTTTAGAACAAATGGAGCAGCACCTTTTGCTGATTTCATGCTCTTTTCACGTTTCCAACCATTAGGAATTCATGTCTCATCTGGAATGTTGCAGGGGAGGCACATTAGCCTTCCTGCCCTGCGCAGATCCTGTGGTTGAGTAGACTGGTGGCTGCCTGCAGAGATGGTTCTGGGCGATGGGATCCCTGACCCATGTTCCCGCCAATGACTGACAAAATGGCAGCTCCATTGGGCTGTCCCAGGGCCGGGTGGTCTTGGAGCAAGGCTGCTGGTGAGAGGTCCAGTGAGAGGCTGCTCACCCACACTGCTGTACCCCTGTATATTCTGCATACACACCCCACCCGTGACCTCCCTGCTCAGCCCACAAGCTGGTGAAGGATCAGCCTGGTGTGTCTGAGCAGTCCAGACTGATGGCTAAGAGGATGTCAGGCCACCAGTCCAGTGTCCACTCATTGTCCCTCCCAGCCACCCCCCATCTTTAAGACAAGGAATGGCCTTGTTGGACCATGCTCCCCCTGAAGCTCAGAAGACAGCAAGGCATGTGATCAAAAATGTAGAGGTGGCTCGTACCTGTAATACCAGCATTTTGGGAGGCTACTTGGGATGATCTCTTGAGGCTAAGAGTTTAAAGCCAGCCTGAGCAGCACAGAAAGATCCCCATCTCTACAAAAAATGAAATAATTAGCTGGGCACTTGTATTCCCAGCTACTTGGAAGACTGAGGCAGACGGATTGCTTGAACCCAGTAGTTTGAGGTTGCATTAAGCTGTGATCACACCACTGAAGTTTAGCCTGGATGACAGAGCAAGACTCTGTCTCAAAAAGAAATAAAGGGTCAGATTATTTAATATATGTAAAGAACTTAGTTAATGTTATGTAAAGAACTTCATAAATATTAGCTAATATTATTATGACTACTAGCAGCTAATATTACCTCAAGAAGGTAGGGGTTAGCTGGTGGGAGGGAGATATCTCACATCCTTGGAAATGCAGGACATCAGGGATAGCATAGACTCCCGAGACCTGCAGCTGCTGGGATGACTAGTATTGTGCCCCTAAGCCAGGGATACCCCTGGACCCAGAAAATGCAGGCCCAGCCCAGGTGGTGTCAGCAGGAGCATGGCTGTGGGCCCCTCATTACCCCTCCCTCCATTTCCCCATTCTGGTGCCCAGTTCAGGACTTAGCGTAGAGTAAACCTCAGTATGTACTTGTGGAATGGATGAATCAATTGTGAATTAATGATATTTAGGGTAGCAATTTTTCAAACTCCAACATGCCCAAGAATCACCTAGGGTTCCTACCAAAAATACACAGTCCTTGGCCCCCACAGAGATTCTCATTCTGTATGTCTGGCCCGGGTCGCCAGGTGGTTGAAGTACAGGCATCCTGGGGCAGGATGTGAGAAAGCCGGCCCTCACCCTGGGAACGGAGGGCCCTTTCCAGGTGGGGAGGAGAGGAGGGCGGAGTCCCATCCTGGTGCTGATGGAATTTTGCAAGTGAGGACGCAAAGGAAATGCCTCCCGAGATGGGGGCATGTGCTGGGGACTTGAGGAAACCCTAGAGATCCCAAGGGCAATGGAGTCGGGAGGCTGGGATAAAGTGGCAGTGAGAAGGGAACTCAGGGCTGAGTGGGAGAAGGTCTCTTCATGTCCCCACTGCCCCTGGGCTGGTTTCAGGAGTTCCTCAGCTTGGAAGAGTCAGGCAAGTAGAACCTGGCCTTGAGTCACGCCAGAACAGGATGAGCATTCAGGGACAGCTGCCTGCAGCACTTTGGAAGGGCATAGTCACCAGGTTACCCTACTGAAATGAAAAAGAGACCTAGCATGTGAAACCACAGGGAAGGGATATGTGTGGAGGTGGGGACAGGAGGCAGAAACTTCTGGAAGGCCTAGGACACGTAACATAGCTTTATAGGGTGCTCAATGCCAGCACAGATGTGCGTTGGGGGTTTTGAGAAAGGATGGCAAATGGGTTTCTTCTCACGTGCCCACTTTGATTGATTGGCAATGGCTGCCTGAAGAGGATGCTACAGCCAGACAGGCTCAGTGCAGGATTCAACTGATCAAGTCTGCTGTGGGCGTGTCAATGGAGAGGGCAGAGCCTGTGCCAAGTATTTGACATCCTTGGTAAGTTAGCACTGGAACCGCTATCTCATGGGTGTTTGTCACCCTGCTCTGCCCAATCCCTGTTGGATAGGGAGAAGCTTGAGAAAGGGCACTTGTACCTTTCCTTTCCTACCCATCCTGACTGTCTGCACTGGGCTTCTCTGCCCTAGTCCTGCCCCTCTCAGCCTTGGGCTGGGCTGGCATGGTCTCCTCAAGAGCCAGCCTTGCTGGGTGCCTAAAGCAGGTGGATGGGCAGGAAGGTGTAGTCCCAGGGGAGCAGGTAGACAGTAGGCCAGGATTTGGCTTCATTGCTACCTCCCTTGGCCACTGTAGATGCTGCTGAAAAGAATTCTGTCTGCCAAGGGCCTGTCCCATACACCTGCCCCTCTGGTGACTTTTGGTTGCAGCCCTCTCCTGGGTGGCTTAGCCGGTGCCCACTTAGCATGAAGCAGGAAGGAGGGATGGTTCATGTGCCCCATCACCCTGAGGGCATTTTCATGGCAGAGGAGGGATGAGGCTGGAGGGGGTGTCTGTCGAGACCACAAGCTGGGCCAGCTGTCAGGGAGGAGAGTGCCTGACAGCACTCAAGCCGGCCCCAGGTACCTCTGGGAGCCTGCCCCAGCCCTGGGCGCTCAGGAACCATTCTCTTTGAAAGTGAGAAGTGAGGTCCTTGAGGGGCCCCAGAGCCAGGTGAGGAGTCTTGAGGACCACTAGGGTGGGTGACTTGAGTCTCCAGGTTGGTCTGTCTGTGTGTTGGCAAGGCCAAGTGCTCCATATGGGTGGACACAGGGCTGAGCCCCCCAGGGGTCCATGACACAGGTTAACCTGCTCCTTGAGGCCCCATTCCCTCTGGGCTGTTTATCAGCCTGCAGCTGTGGGGATTTATGTCCGCACACCAGCACTTTCCCCATTACTAATGACCCTTCTGTTTTGCCAAGAACAAAGAGGCCTTCAGCCATAAGTTATGGCTGCATTGCCATCAATTTGTTCTCAGCCCCTCGTGGCCAAACTGAGACTGAGGAATGACAAGTTCTTTCCCACAGAGGACCTGGCATGAGCCCCATCTGTTCCCTCAGCCTGTGTCTGCCCTACCAGCCACCAGGGGCATCATTTCCTCCGGGGGTCTGATCAAAGCAGGGTTTTGTGGGCTCCCTTCCCTGGTGGCCGGCCCATCCTGTGATCTCAGCAGACTCCCTGTCTGTCCTCGTACCCCTCTATGAGACAAAGACAGTCCTGCTTTGAGGGGCAACTGTACCTCTCCCATCCCAAAGCACTGGTCTTGAAGTCCAAAGTTATGGGTTTGAGGCCCAATTCCGCCAGTCATGTTCTGAGCTAGACCAGCCTCTTGGTCTACAGCCGTGGAATGGAGTTAATAATCCCTATAGTGGATGAGATGGGGCTGGAGAGACTATAAAGGGCCACAAAATGTTAAGGATTATTAACTAACAGGGAGCAGGACCCAGGGATCCGTGGGCCCTGTTCATTTATTTGCGTACAGAGCAGTGGCTACGAGTATGGGCTCTGGGGCACTGTCCATGGTAGCAGCATCCAGCTGTGCAGGCCAGTACAGTTGCCCACGTGGCTGCCAAGCACTTGAGATGTGGCTAGTCTGAGCTGAAATGTACTATAACTGTAACACACCAGATTTTGAAGACTCAGTGTGTAAAAAAAGACCATAAAATATCACTTTAATAATGTATTACATTGAAGACATGTTGAAATGATAGTATTTTGGGCATACTGGGTTAAATACAACATATTATTTAAATTAATGTCACCTTTTTTCATAACTACTAGAGAATTTTCAGTTACACATGTGCTCCCATTCTGTTTCCATCGGCAGCTGTGTTCTAGAGGAGATGGCCTGGGCTCAGCTTCTGCCACCAACCAGCTGTGTAATCTTCTAAGCATCATTTCCAATCTGTAAAATGGAGATAATGATAGCCCAGGCCTCAGAGGGATTAAGCAAGCTAACACAAGCAAGCAGCCAAAGAGCACCTGGTTTTATAGTAAGTGCCCAGCAGACAGGGACTGTTAATATCCACCCGCGGTTTGGGGGCCTGGAGCTGTGCTGATGCCCTGAGGAATGGTGGGGACCTAGGCACCATCTCAGCCTCAGGAACCTGCAGTTTGATTGCCCAAGAAGCACAGGATATGTTGATGTTGACATGGAATGATGGCTTCCTGGGGAATCCATTAGAACTGTTCTTTCTACTTTTGTGTATGTTCAAAAATATGCATAATAAAAAGTAAGAAACAATCCATGGGAGGGGACTCCTCAGTTGTCCGTCACATCGTGGGTGAGGAGACTCACTGAGGAGGAGATCAGGGAAGCCAGGAACTGCTGATGAGAAGGAATTAGCTGTGAAGAGCAGAGGGCAGGTAGAAGGAATAGTGTGGGCACAGACCCGAGAGCAGGAGAGCACAGCACCTTCATGCCGCTGCAGTAATTGAGTGTAGCCGGGCACAGGGCACAAGAGGTGGTAGGGACATGAGGCCACAGAAGAAGCCAGGGCCAGGCCAGGCAGCATGTGGGAGGCCCAGAATTCCAGCAAAAGGAGGAATATCGTAGTGCCCAGCTAAGAGACAGC